CTTTGTCTTCTTTGACCAAGGGATTGACCAAGAATCACGAACGCTTTTCTTTTTTTTTTATCTCACGCTTGCTGAAAGTAATTCAGCTTACATAATTAATCATGGCTTAATTCTTTTAGCTATTCACGGAAACTCATTTTGGCACGAATTATGCCAGGCGATTTACCACCTTAACACCAAACAATGATTATGATATACCAAATGAAGAAAGCATATTTTGGTTGGCAACGCATGCGCAGAACAAATGTTTGACTGAGATAACGAAACATTTGGTATCATTTTCTTTGTTCAAAGTGGGATGATTTTGCTTTCAGTAATTTCTTATTAAATTTTCCAACGGCTTAGCAAGGACAAATTTAAGAAAGTTTTTTCTAGAGACGTGACGGTTTGTTGAGTGATAAATGAGGTGATTGTGATTGTACAAATAAAGTAGGACAGTTGCTCAAACTCCTAGAAAAATACTGAATTAAAGTTAGTTTTTGAATTACTATTTTCATGTTTTGATCGTCTTTTTTCGCCAAATTTAAAACTCGAGATCACTGATAGTATCGACTGGTACTGAATTGGCGCCAAAAACAATGCACGTCGCGAGCGTCACGTGGACATGCGCAGCACAATTTACCCATGTGCAGTCTAGAGCAACAAACTCATATCCGCGAAGAATTTATATCCGACATCAAATTTTTTCTTAAATGAGGTTTTTGTATTTCTTTTTGTGTTTCCACGAATTTGCGTGTCCTTTGGTCTAATGTTCAGGAGGACATGTAGTCCAGTCCTGGCCTCTCGTTTCCGACGCTCGCGGAATCGCTGGGGAAAGAGAGTCCAGTATAACTTGCATGCGCATGTCAAAGTAGCGACCTCGTGATTACCACACCGATGTGGTAATCACGAGGTTACCTAGTCCTATACAATTACCAAGATGGCGGAGAGCACGGTGGAAGGTAGTTTCCACTTGAAATACAAAAATAATTTTGGACCGGCTTTTCTAAATGCCGTTAGTTATGCGACAGAAACGGTTCTTTTTTTACGCTTTGCCCATATACTTCATAAAAAAGTAGAGCTACTTCAGTGTAATCACCGTAAGCACTATAGAGAACCGAACGCCTGGCTGGAGCGCAAGTTTTAGTGCAAAACCTGCAAGCCGAAGCTGCCGCCATTATTTTTCGAATTTTTGACAGAATATAGCGTGCACGTGAAGTAAACAAACCGGCTGACCATTATAAATTGCGGACTCTCAAAATTCAACTTTATTCTGATTGGCTGGTCCTGCACATGCGCATGCAAGTTATACTGGACTCTCTTTCCCCAGCGATTCCGCGAGCGTCGGAAACGAGAGGCCAGGACTGGACTAGAGGACATGAAAAATATGAGATGTTGTTTTTTAGGCTTTTTGATACGTTTTTTACATATCGGTTAAGCTTGCGAATCTATGCAACGTGACACTATTCTAGACACGTGGTATAATTTAGTATTTAATAACATTCATAACGTTTCAGCCAATTTTTAGAGTATGACTCAGATTTTAGCTTTATTATGACGTCACATTAACTTGATAACAGAATGTGATTGACCACACGTAACATTTTAAGGTTTTTTATGTTGTGCTTGATTCATCTCCATATATAAATGGGTGAAAATAATCTGAATTCGGATAATTTTAAACCGTGTTGGTATTCTAACACTGATATTTATAATTATCACGTTCTTCAATATGTACTCTATTTCTGATTGGCTAAAGTCACTGAAGGATAAAATTACTTCCATTTAACAGCAAACGTACTGGATTGTTTATGTGATTACTGCTGGTAAATCTCTCGTGGATGCTATCAATAAATAATGCAATTTTCTTTCGCGTGAAATTTGCCTGCTCAGCATGGTGTTTTGAAATGGAACAAATTAAATTAGCTTTTGAATGGAAGAGAAAGAAAGACCGACTGCTCAAACGACTGCCAGAGAGACTTTTGCCTCAGGGGCTTGAGCTGAATTAACATAAGGTCTTATCAATGTTGATTGCAATGGATGAAAATTGCCTCTGAAACCATATAATTACTTAGATGATTGTTATTATGGTTTTAGTCGCCGTTTACTGAGTAAAAATTAAGTATTATTGCTCACTTTATTATTACTGTGTAATGTTTTTCTTATTGATGTAATTTTTATTGAGGAGCAACAATCTTTTTTGTCTCGTCTATTACAACTACCTGGGTCTAACCAATTGAATGTATCTAGACTTAGTTATTTATTTAGTTCTAGTTTATTTAGAGCAGTGTTCGACTAATCCAAGTGGATTCAGGAGGTACAGTTACAGTAACCCCCAACCGGGCGTTTTATTACATAATACTCTTCAGAGCTAGTTTCACGTTTTTGAGGGGGAAACCAGCAACCCTTAGAGCAAGAAATAGAGCCAATGACATGTCCTCATGAATAATGGGAATAATAAAACTAGTAAAATTCAACTACAAAGTACTAATGTCGATAGTAAATGCTGCACATTGCAAATGAGAAAGGGAATTGTTACGTAAAGCTATGATTGGCAATAATTAGCAGCACCAATAGTACTCATTAGTTTGTACTAATTAGCCGAATACTCACAGTTGCGACGTAAAGTTACGTAATGGAAATTACGTAATTACGTAAAGTATTTTGGTTTTGTCTTAAGTAAGTGATTTCACTAAACTGTTTGTATTTCTAAAGTAGAGTTACAGGAACAGTTATGCAGTTAGTTGACGGTTTTTACACCTTATACGATGCAATAAAAAACTTTAAGTAAGACAACATGGCATTTTTCCAGACGCGCAAAGTTAGTAGAGTGTTTGTGCCGTAGTTCCCATGGAAATACTTGTGTACTAAACGCAAGTGAAAACAATTTACCAATTCGGATGAATTATTTATGACCTTGAATATCATTCTGTTTTCATGGCGAGAATTTCAATGAAAGGAAAACATAACCTCGGCAACTAGAAGAATAATAGCAAAACCACAGGCAGTAAAGAAATCTGAGATTTGAATTTAAAGGATTCAATCTAAGTTTTTGAGTTGGAAATTTTTTTTCGACCGATGTGTGTTTAATTTGAAGCGTTTTTGCTTTACGGACACGTGTTGGAATTATCATTTTCATCAAGAGACGCTTTAGCGAGATGGCTTAATTTGTTGCGAGTTTCTTCCTCGTTTCTTCCTTTAAAGCTTAGTCACGTATTTTTTTACGATATTTTATGGTTAAGAGAACTGTTAATGACAAATCCACCCAGTAGGCCTCGCAAAGACCCGTCTTTCTAACCAGATTAGCAGGTATATGTACCTTTCAATACGCCCACCTGAACTCTCGACTTCTCTCCACATTGAAAACATTGTCTCTCAATGAATAGATAAAACAGGACATACCAATTAAAGTTTAGAAATTTTTAATAGAAATGTTTCGATTTGAATTTGGGATTGATAATTTGCAAGCTTTGGGCAATGGTTTTTATGCTAATAATCTGCATATCATGGTTACAGCCAATCACTCATTGGGCAGTATTATTAAATATTAACTAAATAACATTACGAGTAAAAACAGAAGTTAAATACCTAAAAGGTCTCTCTATGCGTAAAAGAGATATGTTGAGCTAAGTTGGATGTTAACTTTGTGACTCTTCAGGTGATGTTCTCTTGTACTTTACCTGCATGGTCTGACGATAGAAAAAATGCAAGGAAAAGAAAAGAAAGAGAGCGAAAGAAATCCCTTTCAAAGGGAAAAGATCGGTATACGATAGTTAAGGGTTTGGCAGGAGGGCCGGACGGCATATCCTTTGAAAGTGCTACAAAGAAAAAACATTTTCTACGAGTAAGGGACAATATACTGATTGTGGAGGCTTACGATGATTCTGAGGATTACCGTAAGTATATATGAATAGTACGTTTCATTACCAATCACTTTACTTTTATTTGTTGATTCGCTAAAATGATTGAGCACTCTTGCTGGACGTCGTTATCACTCTTGCAAATTAGATTAAAACGTAAAATCCAAAAGTAATGAAAAGAGAGTAAACACGCTCATTAGAATCGGTACTTTATGCATTCATTGTCTTGAGTCACAAGTATTCATCTCTTTGTACAAAACTATATCTATTTTTGAAAACTTATATACATTTGGTATAAAGGGAACTTTGAATGTTTAAAAGGTCTTTCTGTTTTAGTTGAATAAACATTTTATCGAGTATAGGCAAAGTTTCAAATGACTTCCGCAGAAAATATGAAGCAAAGTTGGGTAAAACGTTTCACTTGAATGTCAGCAACTTTTGATGGGAATCACTAGTACGCTTTTGAGTGGGCCACTAAAATGCGCCGAGCTTCTCTAATGGATTTACCCTGTACGAAATGTTTCTAAAAATGGCATAGCTTACTCCAAAATAGAAAACTAAATATAAAGTTTTCAATAGGAATCATTTTTGTTTGAATCATCCAAGAACATAAAAACATACTTTTTAAATATTTACGAATTCGAAAACGTGAAAACGAAAAATTTCTTTTGCACAGCTTGAGATTAAGCAATCGTTTATCCAAGCGATAAGAACCAGGGTGAATTTGTAACTATCAACATTATCTAAATTGTTAGAGGTAAAGGTAGCCAATTCATCGGATTTAAACAATATAAAAAGGATGTGTGGTTATTATTGTGGTTACAAATGGCGATTAGATGGGTCTGAAAGCATTCGACCCTTAAATATACCTGCCGAAGTCATGTGAATTGTCTAGTTTAAGGGATGTTTTCGTTAAAGGCAATTTATTCCTCTTAATTATATCCTTTAAGGACAAGCGTTGCAGTTGCAATGCCAATTGAAACTAATCGCAAAATCTTCGTCGAGAGTTTGTTTACCTTGAATCAAACCTTAAAGAGAGATATATGAAGAACTATGACAATAACATACATTGTATAGACGCTTTGTTTTGTTATTGCGTTGAGACAGCTCAACAGTTGGGGTTGGAAAATCTTTTATATTTTGACAAGAAAGACAAGTGGTTCTTCTCTGCGGCGTTCCAACAAACTGTTGTGCTTCATTTTCAATTAATTTTCAGCTTATAATCAACAGAACAAATTCTATCTATTTCATTAGTTTTCTTTTTCAGTTTGATATCGTTAATGTGTTAACTTTCAGGACTCAGGCACTTTATAGTTTCCAGCAATATTAAATACTACGTTTCAATAACGACTATTTTGAGTTTGTGCCAAAGCTTTGAAAGCTAGTACTAGTGTCAGATTGCAACCCTCAGCGAAGAACATTTTCTAGAAGTAATGTTTTTTCAAAATTTAACAAACAATGATTTTGACGTAGATTCTTTATTTTTTGAGTTTGATTGAAATTGATCATGACAAGGCTTTTTTCGAGTTAATACTAAAAATGTTCTCTACGAAAAATAACGGTATTATCATAATAACTTTGCCATTTTTTCTAAAAAAAAAGAATTTTTTTGTTTGATGAGAGACTTTTCCTTTTTTCATAATCCATTGGATTTTTAGTCTTCATGGAACAAGAAACTGCAAATTTACCAAGGTGTTAAGCTCAGCTTAAGTATGCCTATATGTAATGTAAAACAGATGTCATTTTTCCTTTAAACGGTTCAACAAAAAATCAGAAATTTGCCGTTTCAATATATAGAATTTAATCAACGCTTGGATTTTTTCGTTACAAGCCGATCAATTTGGCGCCAAAAAGCGATTGACGCGCGCGCAATGTTTTTGCGCGGGAAAATCCTTTCACCTAAAGTTTTGCTACGTTTGTTCGCAGGTAAACAAAGTACGTTCATTCCACTGCAGGACATGTGGTTTGGTGGATATGTGGTATTTGAATCGTTAGTTGAACCAGCTCATTTCATCCGTCGATGTGCTGAACAGCTAATGCTCCAGAAGTATGAAAATTCGCCGTTTTTTAAAGAAGATGCGAGTTTTAAATTGGCTCGAAAGCGATGTATAGGTAACAGAGATACCATCTTTTTCAATTATTAAATTCAATACTTTCTATGTAGACAAAATACAGAAACTTTCCTGAAAATAACATGAATAAGATTCACACATTATTCAAATTGTACATTTTCGAAGCTGTTCAATAAGTAATGTCATCGTTACACTTTTAGTTTGTATAAAGATTGGGTCACGTGTTTGGGCTCGGGTGGAGAAGGGCTGTTTCCTACGAGGTACAGTTATAGCAGTAGACGACATGGTTCACATACAACTCGAAAACGGAAACAAAATTTCCCATAAAAAGCTTCCGCCCAATACAACGTCAGAGTGTGCGTATGTCCCAGATATAATCCCACATCCATTGGAAATCGATGTTGGTACAAGAGTACTTGCGCGATGGTTTAATAGATTAGATAGTTACTACCCAGCCACTATTACCGCCGTAAGGAGAACGTACTTCAACGTGAAATATGATGATGGCGATAAAGGGAGTAACAACATCAATGAGATCCGCTTACTGAAACAACCAGAAGTCGAGGGTAAGAAATAAGGAATGCTTATATCGATAATATTATTGTTACTCACCAAGATACAGGATGATGCAAACAGCTTGACATTACTCTATGGTGACCTGTGGAACAGTAAGATATTTGCTAAGATTCAAGTGATTTTATAATTCGAACAAATTCTTTTGTATTTGGAATTCTTTGTGGTTTTTGGTGTGGTGGTTTACCTTAATTCCCCTCCCATCGTGGAGGAGAGGTTGGGTTCGAGTCCCACACCTGCTATCTTAAGTTAAAGTTGAGTTTCTTTGGTGAGTTGTTCTATCACTTTGTTCATGTTTTTTTTATATAAACATGAAATTGAGACATCAATGAAGAAAAAGTGAATGTAAGTGAGGCAAGAGATATATTGATTTTAGAATTCCAAGGAATGTTTCCAAAAAGAAAACAGAAATTTCCATGGTCATTTTGAACTTGTAACTTGAAATACGACTACTCGAAGAAAATTTTGAAGAAAAACGCAAAATTATTTTTCCGATGAAGTTTTACAAAACTTTAACTAGCCACAATCTGTAAGTAACTAAGCAGTAATTCAGTGATGATTTCATTTTAATCTAGGAGGCGCCAGCATACCATCGTGGTCATCTCTAGATGGTCTTCCAAGGGTTGGTGGGCTTTGTATCGATTCATCCGGCGAATACAGCGCGTCAGAAGAAATATCCGATGGCCATGACGCGACAAATGAACGATGGACGTCAATAAAAGACCATCGACCCGAAAGCCCAATTGACACTGGGCACGAGACGGACACAAAGGAAGCCCACTTTGGATACGAAAACAACCTCCAGTACCTTACTCCCAACATACAACCCCTACATGCGCCGGTGGTACGCAATGTCAGTCAGGTTAGCGGTGGTTCAACTGACAGCGGTTATCACGACAGTGCATGCGCAGGAAGTACTCGCCAGAGGAGGACAGGACTGTGGGCAGAATTACACTGTAAGTGACTTCTGCATGACGACATCGATTCTAAAAATAATTGCATGCCAAAAGTTGAAAACAAAAAAGAAAAAGAGAACAACGCGTTTATTCAACCTACCTGTTTTATTTCTATTTTTTTCAATTTTTTGAGCCAAGCACCAATTTATCAGAAGAAGAATGACCTAAGTACGGTTGCTTGACAAGAAAATAAAATGTTTCTAGGTTGAATAAGCATGTTGCCCATGAAAAATGAATGGAATTCAACTTAAGATGCTACTCGTTATCAACGTGGACATAGAAAAATCTTTCTTAAGTGAATCTATTTCCTGTGAATGCCGTTAAGATGTCCAATGTATTGAGCAAGTTTGAGTACGTTTTATCACGCATGTGTATTTGTCGACCGTTTGTGCTTGGAAGTGACTTCAAGCACAGTCCACCTCTGGCTCGGTGACTTCCCTGCGTTCCCAGCTCGTGAGTAAACCTGAAATAATTTTAAATTAAGCAACAACAAAAAAAATATCAAACTAGAGTCAAAACTTAATGATAAACTAACATAATAGCATAAATCGTAAAAAATAAGATAACATGTGACTGATAACTATCCGTAACTATCACGACTTGGTAATGCGAGGAATTCACCTGAGCATGAACATGTGACACGTCACGTTAGTCCATCTTCGGAACCGTATGTTGTCACGTTGGCATATGTGGCGTTACACTGTGTTTTTGTCACGCTTTTCACTTTATCACTTGTTAAACGGTACATTATCACTGTCATCACGCTGCTACTATGTAACTTTCCAAGTCACGCTGTCTTTACAATTATCATTTGCGAAATATTGTTACTTTGGATGTGATCTTTGTGTTACGTTTTCGAGTCTACCTGAATTTATGCACTGACAGGTCATCATTTTTTTTTTCTTTCATCTTGTCACTCTGCCATATTTTGTAAATATTGCGTAAGACAAACACTAAACCGTAATTTGTTCTTTTTCTACACGCTCAACTTGACTTCACTTCCCATAATGCTTTACACAAACTCGTATTTCTTGGTCGAAATGGACTGGAACCTATTATCGAGAAGGTTTACTTTGGTGCAAGGACAACGTTCCGAAATATCTCGACTTTTTGGTAAAAGGACTGGGACTTGGGACTAAGTGTTTGACTATTCGTGCCGCTATAACTACTAACTAACGAAACAGACCTTGCTTTATTTCTAACCACCCATAGCATGTCTCACTTTGCATGCTGTCACTACATTCGACCTTGATTCATTGACACAGGTCTTTTTCTATATCCATCATTTTCAGTTTTAGACATACTAGAGGTCAATAAGGCTTTCAGGAAACTAAATATTGAATTATCTGTCTCAGTTATACACTCAAAAAAGGAATCGACATGCTTTGAGAATCTCATTTATTGGATCCTTGCTCTTGCTAATTTCTCAAACGGGTACTCTGTAGAAATGTAACTACATTTCTTTGAAAACGTCCGCGATGATTTTCGAAATCAGTACGATCTACACTTGCCTCTCAGGAGTAATAATCACCAATCTACCACCACACGACGCCTTCGCTTATCATATATCTTTCTACTTCCTCCTCAGACAAAGAGACCTTTGATTCTCGTTTTCTCTCACCATTCTCGTACTATCATCCCAATCTACACCAGTCAGACAGTGAGCTGAGTATCACATCTAGTGTAGATTCTGGATACCCGGGGGGGTTCAGCCTTAGCAACAGTAGGTCGACTTTGCGTAAGTGGTCATTCATTTTTTTTTGCATGCGCATGGGGTACGCATGTTTCTTGCATGTTGACTATTATTGATTCTTCTGGATCGTCTAACACTTAAAGCATTGCTTGTAGCTAAAAAGGATATGTGGGCTCYGKYAACATCATATCAGTGAATGAATTATGATGAGCATGGCTTGTGCAAGCTGATAGTACCAACTGGTTTTGTAGCTGTCTTCGGTGTTTTGGGGTTCTGTTACTAACTAAACTTTTCTTAATTCTAACCTCAACTAATTTCTGATCATTCTCAAATCCTATAGATTTCTTTTCTMGATGATACATTGACAGAAGAAACATTTGTTCATTTTGCGGTCTTCGTTGCACACCCCAACGAGAATCGTAACATGGACACGTTTATGAAATGGCTTGTTGCACGAAAACAKCATKTAATMCACTTTTGATATAATTGGCTGAAGCCTGCATTACCATCACTGTTCTTGTCCAATGGGAGACTTGCTCTAATAAATCACGTGACCCTTTCAAAATCGCCCAGCGAAAACACTGTCATACCTTATYATAGGCATCTTTCGGATGATTCACGGGATGGCATGAGCAAGTCGCCTATTTATTTACCTTGCCATTGTGAAAACCAAGCTTTTGAATAGATCGAGACATCTTCTCGAGAATCTTCTCAAAAGTTTACAAAGGTCAGGTTGTTTGTCAAGGTGGCAGGGTTAACACGCAGATGGTCGTCCTTTTTACAGCTTCCTTCGAGATTTTGAAAGGTAGCCATCATCATGATCATGATCATCATATATCCCATCTTGGCACTGCCGACCATCAGTGTCCAGTACTTCAGACACAAGTTCGATTTTCTTCATCACTACCCCCCTAATTTGGGCATCCATACCAAGCGTCTTATCTATCTTGTTCGAAACAAGGGGGATGCAATGTATGAAGCGATAAGAGCTTCCCATTTTTAGGCAAAAACATGCACATATTTTTGATCAAATCGGTGACCAAGCTCTTCATACATCTTCATGGACTCCATGCATGGCTYCCTTCAAATATGACAAAGGGAGATGTAAAACTATGGGTCTGTCTGAGAATTGGGTTTGATGGACTTATAAGATGGATTTTTTTAAACAGAGATCGATGGAGTATCCTTTCGATTGAAAGAATGTAGATAATACACAATTTKTTTCCTTCCATCTTGTCCATCAAGCCTTCATTTCTCTAGATATGTTCAGTTCTCCATGCGAWGTGTTTCTTATCCTTCACAAAMTTATGTAACCTTCGWMYGAAAAAAGGCTAAGAATAAGCTTTTGCACATGGAATGCGCTCAGTTCTGCTTGAATCTACCTTTCTTTACAAAGAGCATGCTATTTGAATGAAAATTTACATTAAGAAACTAAATAACGGTTTTTGACTTTTTAGCCCCGGGAAGAACCCCAGCAGGGAAACATTCTGACAAAGAAATGTGGGACAATGAAGACACCGATGCTTTGTCCGACATCGAAACAAGTAACTCTACAAATTACTCCACAACACATGACCTTGAATTCCCTGACAGCTTCGTGTCCACTAACTCCGCCGGGCTCTCCGCGTTTAATGCCGAAGATAACGCAATTAGTCACGCAAGTTACTCAGAAYGTAACGGAGGGTCTAACACCTCAAGCGTCACAACATCTTACAGTACCGGAAGCGATCCCCATGGTTCCTACGTCACCCAAAATGGCACGCGCTCTGATGTCAAAGAGTGTCCCGCCCCATATCCCACCGACTTCGCCAAAACTGTTAAGGAGACTAAGCGGACCCCTYTCACCAAACATAGGAGCTGCCCAATCCATCATCACACCTCAGGTGGAGAAAGATCTCGCGTTAATAAAGCTGCCAAGAATGGAGGCGATGGAATACTGACCAAAGAGAGTCCCAGTTTAGTCGGTAGGTACTGTTTAGTTGAAAGTAAAAAAGGGATGAAGGTATTCTGCATGAATGGGAATTAAATTTGGATGGATTAGGATAAGAATGAAAACATGGTCGGAAATTAATGGAAAAATGGATGAAAATTGATAGATGAAAACTTAGATTGTTGCATATGGTTGATGAATATGGCTTGYATTACTTGTTGATAGCGTTTATTGATGAATCATAGTGTTGTAATCCTTTACAATTTCAATATAATTTATTTTCTACAGGACTAGAGACTGTCATTTAAATTTCTGGCGTGCTTGAGAAAGAAAACCTGCAYGCAAAGGTAAATGACAGTTCGCGATGTCACATGATAAGCCACGTGACCATGGATAAGTCACATGAGAACTGTATCCCATGATCAACGCATGCTTGTAGCAAGCATCACAGCGGATACTCAACCCAACTACTACCATATTTGGACAACAAATGACCCAGAATGACAAGTGCTGATACCATATATAGTATTACCATGAGTAAAAGTTGACCYATCAAGACAAAGAGAAACAACGGCACAACGCGATGAACATTGCAACTTTACATTTCTTGTCAAGTGTCCTATCTAGTGGTCTGTGACGTAAAGAGCAAGTAAAAGTAAAACTGTGTGAACAAAATTAATCATTGAATGAACTCTGTGAGTTCATAATATCAACGTTTTTTATTTCTACAAAAATGGCTTAGTAAGACTGTTTGAACTTATGTATTACTTACCAGCAATACTGAGAGTGTAAATATATAAACGCCATTTGCTTTATGAAGCATCATTGATGTCTAAATAGTCCTTTGTTTTCACTAATTTATTGCCGCACGATCCTGACTGAGGTGTTTTGTGAACCACTACCAACGCACCCCATTTTGGGGGACAAACGGATTATGCAGGACRTGAAGAGATGAAATGCGTGCGCAGATCTGGAAAGCTGTGAAAGTTYGATATCTAACACTTACCGTTAAGAAGAMATCCAATGGTAAAGGCTCATGGTTTTACATGTAAATAGATTCTAACGGTGAGATTTGAGCGAATAAGATGATACTTCTCTCAAAAGTAGTTGAAACTGCTTTTACGCCACCATCAAAAGGTCAACAATTAGACAAAAAAGAAGAGAAATTTACACATTAAAGAAACAAACAAACAAACAAACAACAATTTCGTGCGACAATATCTTAGTGGAAACTTGCTTAAAAAGGCGAGGAGGCGTCCTCAATTCTACGGGGTTTAATCCAGGACCAGCCCGGTGCGTAAATGTATGTACGTATGCTAGTAGGATTACATAAGATCAACWATATTTCAGTCGATGTCGGCATATTTTGCAGGAAAAATAATGTACAATTATAATAATAATTTGAAAATATCTCGAATACAATAGAGTACAAAACTGCGAAGAAAGCATTCAAATATGAACCTACTGCACATGAAAGATCATATAATTTAGTCAACGGAATACTAAGTTTTCCACTTTATCAACAASTAGGTTTACAGCAGGAAAAATACGACCAGCAAAAAAGAAATTCGCTAAGTGAAAAGGTGTTTTTTTTGCATAGAATATTCTTGAGGAGGTTGATAATTTGAGAAGAACATACCGCCAGTAAATTATCCGTAGCTTCAAGGGAAAAATGGAATAAACATCGATTGTTGAGGAAGAATGATTTATACGCACTTACAAAACTTGAGCATTTCTTGACAGTATATCAGTGTGGAAGGTGTACAGGGAAAGACAAAGAAAAGGTTAATAATTAATCTTATTTTGTCGTATAAAAGTAATCCATTTTGTACAATCAAAATGTAAGTGATATAAAAGTGGAGTTCTAGTTTAGGACTTTAAGATTGATCAAATCTGGATAAGGAAACCATGCATCACAGTTGCCTTTCTCTGTTAGACGCGCATAGTCACGTAGTTTAGAAAATCACATGTTTCTTAGTTTTACGCCGCATTAAACGCCCCAATAGTTCACCGTGCATTTTTGAAGCGAGGTGTGAACGGGGTCTAATTCAATAGTTCGGCAGTAAACCTGTTCAACGTGGGCTTAGCTGGTCTATAGCCTTTCCAGCTACTTTTATGACTAAATTGTTTATTTTGACAAGAAATGTATTGCACTCGAATATTATTTCAATAAAGACATCTGAATGATCTGTGTGTGTTTTTTTTCTGTGTGTATTGATTTTGATAACATTAAAAGTGTAATGGAATGGACGTAGATAGAAAATAAGGTCTTCATCAAACGTCGGACTTAACTTCTGCCGTTCAAAATGTAATGCATCTATTGCGAAGGCCATTTGGAGCTAAAACATTTTGTCGTTAAAATCTCCTAAAAAAACAAGAAATTTGAACAGAATTAAGTTCGCCATTTGATCCTGGTGGCCTTTATTAGAAATAGTAATACTCCATTTTAAGATTCAAACGTAGATACTTCACTTATGCTACTTGAAAACTCCCCAACCCTAGCGCCGCTCTCGTGCGTTAGGGTGTTAAGGTTAGGGTTAGGGTTAGGGTTAGGGTTAGGGTTAGGGTTAGAGGAGTGCATTGGAGCTCTAGGGAACGCTAAGGTGAAGTGCATGTTGGTTGGGGAGTTTTCAAGTACTATAAGTGAAGTACCTACCGATTCAAAGCGAAAAACCGCTGTTTTATTTGACAACAGCTTCTTTTGCGCAAAGACCTTCACTTATTCACAGCCGCTAGCAATGTATACTTCTTGCAGTTATAAAGAACAATTTTTAAGCAATAAACAATTGTTTTCCCTATTTCAGTATTTATTGATATAATTCACTATTTACACTGACCTTCCATGTACAAAAGTAAAACTGGCCATTTCTATTCGAAACTAACTATATTCTCCATCGAATTCTCATCACGATAAATCCCATATCGTGTCAACACGATAAATCCCATATCGTAAGTGAACGTGGTAATAACAGAATATTTGTATGTTTGTTATGCCAGACAATTTTCTATTTAAGCCCTCGATAGAACTAGAAAAAAAAACATGGCACGTTTTAACGTTATTTGCTCCACCCAGACGAATAAATGCCGAACTTCTCAATCTAAAACGGCATATATATACATTGACTGTATTAGAACAATAATGTATTTTCAAATTTTGTCCGCTATGTCCACACATATTTGCATTAAATGTCCAAATTCATTTCTCATATGACAATTTTTGACCTGCTTCTCTGAAATCTTAAAATCTAAAGTACGCGGTCATCCAATCGACGGCGCACTGCGATTACGACGAAGATGTCCGCGTCTATTAGAGAAAACAACGTACCACTAAGTGGATAAGGCCATCATGACCATTTACTGCCATAAAAGATCATGTACATGTCGCAAAGGGATGATGGAGTGAAACTGAGCCGCTTTTTTGCAACCGAATCCCGTTGAGAATGCGTTAATTGTGTTTTACGTAAAAGTTTTACGTTAATTCTGCATTGTATTTCACGTGTAAGTTTTACGTTGATATTACATTTTGTTTTACGTATGTCTTACGTTTTTTCTACATTGTGTTGTACGTAAATGTCTCGTTTATTCTACATTGTGTTGTGAGTATATGTTTTACGTTCATTCTCCTTYCGTTTTACGTATATGTTTTACGTTTGCTTAGCATAACGAAAGTAGAAAAATGTTTGTCACCAAAACAGAATAAATACGTCTTGTCAAATACTGCGATTTTCTCCCATCTCAGTCTATACAGAAGCMTGGAAGTGCGATAAGAGTGTTACCATCGAGAGATGTTAGTGAACATATGGGATCCCTTTGTCAGTCTTGATAAAGGAATTAAAAGACAGGAAGCCCATATATAGTATATTAATAAATTCCATGGTGAGACGCATGATGGGAAGCCATAACAGAAGTAGTGACGTCATTTACACGAATGGTTGCTATGGATACAGGAATTCCAGGTCATATTTGTCGATCCACTCATCATATATATTTTTCTCGAATCGATAGCGATGTATGTCGTCCACGATGTTTTGTCGACGTCCATCGCAGCGGATGTACTTGTTATGWTGCCAGTAGTTCTTCATATACGACCGGTCGCTATAGCAAAGTAAATCACAATCAAATGGTGGCTTAAATATAAGACAAACCTTAATGGTAATGCGTACCTTAAACATGGATGATTTCTTTCCACTCCAAATACTCTCATCTTGCGGCAAACGTCACGCATGATGTCAATGGCGTGGAATTGTGTTGAAAGAGGAACTTCTTCACGACTTTCAAAAAGAAAAAAAAAATATATGTAGTAATCAATACAAAAACAGGAATTGCATGACTCGTTTCGAAACGGTAACATTCGACCGACGTTTGACCGAAAAAGATAGAGAAAGACAAACGCTTGCGTCTCTGTCATATACCTATTTTAAAATGAAAATGTCTGTTAAAAAGGTTTTGTGCAAGGTGTCACCAACAAGCCTGCACTACTTTCTAAAAGCAGGAAAACAGTTTGTCTTAACTTGTGCTATGAAAAAAATTAAATAACCCAACCCTGTGTCGCGTGTTCAACAAAATATAGTGCGTGCAATATAGCCTCCTCCGTCTATCTTCCTTTCCGCTCTTTTTTACTCTTGGGCTTCCTGTCTTCCAGTCCRGAGGAAGACTGTGGTCCGGCAGAAAAATGAAAGAGTAGACTACAACCCCTTCGTTTCTTGTCGGGGATCAAAGGCCACCGCTCGGCCAAGAGGATACCAGAGAGATCCCAAAAAMGCAAAATGAAGRGATGCCTGCGTAGGAGTCTACATGTTATWTATAACCAGTACTGCTGATTAGCAGGACTGCAGACGCATACCTGTGTGTTTTGGTCTTCAAAGTCTCTGTGAATCGTATAAACTTATCACCTAAATATTGCCCCGAAACCTTCTTGAATAACTTAAAAAACGTACAGTTTTTGCAGAGATGATTGTATTTGCCATATGTWATGATGTAACCGAGAGAACGTATTTCTTCAGGATCWCGCCATACATAGTGTAAGAGATCGCCAAGATGATCTTGAGAAACGACTCGCACTGTAGTTTTACCCCCCACGTCGTCCTCGTAACCAAATGTAGGCGCGATGTTCAAACGAATCACACAATCACTTGAATCAATCACTGAGCCCGCGTTACTCCTATAAAGGTCAGCTGAGTTCGTTACGACTGCGCATGAGTGACAGTTYAGATTTACTGTAGCAGGAATGCTGGGATTCATTGCAAGAACAAACTTGCTTGGTGTCCGAGTAGGAATGGGTACGATATCTGTATGATGCAGGTTTTGAGTGGCAAGCGTAGGTTTTCTTGTTGTTGTTGAAGTTATTGTAGTTTTAGTTGTGGTGAGCTTTGTATGCTGCAATGGATCTTTTGGAATGACAGAGCGATGTGTTGTAGTTATTTTATTCATTATTTTCGTTGTTTGTATTAACTTTTTCTTATTCGWTTGTAGCTTTTTGGATGTTGCTTTTCGTGGGCTTTCTTTGGTTGTCTGTGTGAATGTCAATCCGTTWTGCCTCGCGGAAGAAGAAGTTGTGATGACACGCTTGTCGGGATTTGATGATAATTTTTCTGCCTTAGGGGAGGTAGGAGATGCAATGATTTGCGTGTCGTCATTGGATGTTGCTGCTGAATGAAAGCTTAAACTGATGAAGAGAATTATGGCCACTACAGTTATTACAGCAGCTGTCATCTTTTTGACCCTGCTGAGGGACACTTGCTGGTAACTGACTCCAAGTATCCTGAAAACAATAACTTAATTTAGAAAATAGAGAAATTGAGAGGAAATGGCCACAGGGAGAGGGAGATATCTGGCGCTAGCATGAATAGTATTTTGTTAAAAAATTACGTTGATAAATTTAAAACATTATTTTCACGATAGGAAAAAAATAATAAAATAAAGCAAAAGAGAGAATATAGCAGGAGTAGCTAGAGAAATGAAATAGGAGATTAGTGATAAAAATACTAGGATTGTAAACTGATATAATTCACATAAGAAAAAAAGAAAAAGGGAAGAGAGAGAGAGAAAATGGAGTAAGAGAGGCTGGAGAAATGAAAGAGGAGATTAGTGGGTAAAAGTAAAAACTACTCTGATATAATTCACATAAGAAAAAAAGGAAAAAGAAAACGGAAAGAGAGAGAGAAAATGGAGTAATAGAGTCTGGAGAAATGAAAGAGGACAAGAGTAGGAAATATTGACTACAAATGATCAGAAGATAAGGATACCTCTGTAAATCAAGCGTAGAGCTTGAGCCATGCTCCAGTTTTTTGTCTTTCTTCAACATTTCTTCTAATACGTCATCGTCACTTGCTACGCCAGCTAATGAGACAAGTATGAACACAATGATATTTARTGTTTTACGGTATCACTACTCCATCATTTTTAATACTTATAACATTATTCTTTCGTATTCACTTTATAATGTAAGGCGAGGGATTTCAAGTAATTTCTCGCTATATTCAGTCTTCCCTTCTCATTTCAACTTTCTTTTTCTTTATTTACAATTCATTTGTATTAATCTGATGTCTCTTTCCGAGAGATGAACAGTAAGTAGAGAAATAAAGTCTATTTAATGAGAAAATAACAAGATTGTAAGATCGAAAAGATTTGATTCGATGGTGTTCCYATTATTATTGGGTAATCTACTGAATCCAGGATTTCGCAATCGGAAGGATTACCAGTATTTAACACCGATGTTGAAAGGATCCGAAAGGTTTTGCTCACTACTTCAAGAAAATGTTTACTCGATCTGAGAATGCTTTCAAAAAAGAGCGAAAAGAATCAACACTTGTCAGAAAGTTAGTTTTATTTTGACAACGCMCGTTTCGCACACTTCACTTTCACAAAAAGATTTCTCATTAGTACCCATACCATGGCTGAGGATTTTATCTCAAAGAAATGCTATTAATGAATGTGGTTAATAAAAAACTCAAGTGTTATTCATGACAATTTTTTTCATAAAATATATCGACAATTCTAATAGAATGATAAAATTTAATTTCAGACTCGTATTTCAGTAGTTTCGTATGCAAAAAAGTTTGCAATTGTTATTCGGAATATTTCAGTGATAAAAAGGACGACATACTGGTCACTTATTGATCGGTAGCTGSCCTTCAATTTGGAAATCATTTTTAATTCTCTCTTCAATTTCCTTCAAACTATAAAACGACACTTGAGTCTTTAATATCTTATGAAAACTTACATATACTTCCTTACTTATTATTGCAATTGATTAACAGTTGGCGAGAATCTGAAGCGAAATTATGAGACATTCGTAGAAAAATAATTGAATTTCAATGTACCAAAGACACGGACTTTCATAAGTAACTCTACACTACTTTTTTCAAATCTTGATTTTAAATGTTTTCGGGTTTTTTACCTATTATTTTGTATACAGCGATTTCCAAAAAGTTGACTACTACACCTACTTGCAGAAACGTTGTCATAGAAAATAGAACATTCGAATTTAGTAAAAAGGAATAAATTAAAACAAGACAAAAGAAAGCGTCCAGCCTCAGTGATGTCCTATTTTTTAAGTAGGTGTATAATCATTCTGATATCCCATGTTTAGTCCGAAATGCATTGCTGCTATTTAAACTCGACGTTACTACGTTACAAAGTTAAAAATTTCAAAAACCTAAATTGCTTTTCATCAAAGTTCTTAACTTACGAAGGATAGCACAGTCACTCTGGAACAGTTAACCCACATTTAGAGGTGATGACGGGAACCAATGCATTTCGGTCTTGGAATGAGCTTTATATCATTGCAGTATTCAGTAGTCAACATTTTAAAATTATCCGTACAATAATGTCAAAAAGATGTTGGTGGAGGGAATGGCACACGGACTCAAGTTACTGCGGACATTCAATGTTGACGAAAAATGTTCATTCAGAAAATCATCGAAGATTTTGATTGAGTGAACACGCGCAATGGAATGACTTTATTACCATTTATAATTAATGTCCACGATGTCCCCAGTCTTTCTGACAGTCTTAAAGATGTATTACAACATTGATAACTCAATAATTATTATTGAACATTTCGTGTCATCATAAATGTTATTTTTGTACTGATTTTTATCGTTAATTAATATTGTTAACATGCGTTAATACAATCAACAACTATATCATCCAGCATCCAATCTTCAAGTGAATGTTTCAATGGGAAAATTGTGACAAAAATACTTTGAAGTATTGCCAGACATAGAGACTTAAAATACGATTAAAAAAAAAATGAAAATAACGCGAGAATTATAATGTTTATGACTTCTGAGATTCATTGACGTCATAACCTTATCATCCCTCCGGAACAACAAACTAATGATCATCCAAACAATTTCCCATCCACAAACAAACTTGCATATTTTCTCTCAATAATTAAACGAAGTTTTTCTATAAATACAGATTTTTTAAACCATGAAACAGTACGGGATTAATTCATGACATGGTTAAATGATAATGTGAGAAATGATATTTAAATCTCAGCAGGAACTACACTTAAGTGTTTCAATTCCCTGGGAAATCTCCCTCATGAGTAAATGTTTTTTTCCTTTGATTACTAGCTTAACTTGTAGCCATTTAGAAACTAGCAATAACACGCTTCATAGACGTTTTTTTCTGAACATCTTGTTGTTAAATTGCTTTCTGAGCAGATTTCTAAGAGTGTGGTTACAACGTGATGAAATACCGCCGCCATTTTGATTTATACTACTTTATTTTTCTTCCTTTCGCTAAATTCAAACACTATTTGCGATGAAATCAGAAAAATTGTTTTGTTTATAATGAGACATCAAGTCGGAAATTCATAACTGGAGCATAAAAAGCGAAAGCTTAATGAGTTCAATTTGTCGAAGACTGATCTCGTCAAAAATCAATAAAAATCCATTATGGAAGATCACAAACTAATAAGAAAGAGTCGGGATGGCATGTTGGTCATACATGACATCAAAACTTATTCTATTTTCATACCTTTTGATGAAAAAATTTCGATGAAATAGTTGAGCAGCCGCCAATTTCCATTTCAATAGAATTGACGCAGTGAAAACATGCCATCGGTCAGCGAGTGGGAGTATGTGGGCCGCATAGAATTGATTACATGATAATTCATATGGATATTATTTCAAATCGGGCTCACTGGTTTTGAACATTATAAATACCGCTGTTTGAAATGACAGAGCGATCGTTTTTGACTGACTATAAGGTTGCTTTTTCCCATATTCGTAAAAATTATTTTTCCTTTTACTGACAAATAGAATAAACTTTGTGATATTTCTCCTATTACAGTCGATCTTAAAATAACAGTTGCCATTCAGGAATTCATTCGGAAATCATTCATATTTCTTCATATAATAACAATCTACTCCAGCGCGTCCATTCAATTACTTGGTGAYCCATCAATATTTCATCCGTGCATCAAGCTTGTATTCTCAACATTTTAGCTGATSCGATTTATTTATTCATAAATCCATTCATTCATAAATTGAGAGTGACCCAAGTACCATGTCATCAATAACGTACAATAATGCGCCGAATAGTAAAAATAAGATAAATTTAGGAATAATTATAAAGTTGTATTGAGTTTGACAGTTGGTAAAAATTCTTACTCAACTTAATATAGTTAATGTTTAGAGATATGTATTGGCTTTATGACTTAGGAAAATTACAGCTGAATGACAAAGCAATACAAAGGAAAACACGGCGACTGAGGCAAGTTTCGTTTATTAATTGAGTTTCAACGTGAAATGGGAACTTTTAACCGTTTTAGGACGCGTGTCATTCAACGAATATTTCTTGTGCTTAAGTCAAAGAATATTAAAATTTAATGAGCACAAATAGAAGATTAAGAATCAAAACTAAATAACCAGGCACATGTTAGGTTTGACGGTGGTTAGTGATCATTTATAGTTGGTTGTATATCTGATAACTCTTATGCAACGTTGTCAAACTCAGAATCTCACATGTGCCGAGTTCAATGCCAAGACACTAAAAGTATTTTACTTCAAATAAATCAAATAAAATACCAAAGATTAATAAAGATAGGAGAAATCTATGTCAACAAAATGAACGAAATGAAATGAAACAGAGAGAAGTAAAGATAGAAAGTGAGATACAGAAAAACCATGAGGTGAAAAGAAATGATTTCAAAAGCTTTTTGCACTTTGCCATTAGTGGTGAACAAACGTAAAGAATATCAAGCAATAAGTGCTTTTTTAGGGCTATTCAAACATGGCTTCAAGCAAATGTTTTTATTATTTATCACTTGATAAGAATCCTGGCACTTTCTTGTGCAAGTAAATGATTCAATTAGCGCCCACGGTCTTTTGGATGCCATGTGATATGGTTGAATTCAGTACACGGAATCTCTTATAAATGACTGCAAAAAATGCTATGAATAACACCAAAAAAGCTCAAAAACACGTCAAACCTAGGGAGGAAAAAGAAATCACCTCTTTGAATTTTTAAAATATTCAATAAAGATAAAAAAGAAGGAAAAAACATTTCGTTTTTTTTGCGTTTTTTAACGCAAAAAAACCCTTAAAAACTTAAACTTAAAAGTTTTTGAATTGAAGACCATTAAAATGTGACTGATTAATTTTAACGGGTTGCATTTTGAGCACACCATAATCCTGTAATAAAGGAATATATTTTGTTTTGATAAATGGATTAAAAATATGAGTTTTCTATTGGTTACAAAAGAAAACTCGCCAAATGAGTGCGCGCACAATCTATTTTTGATGTCTTTTCGATAGTAAGATCTTATCGTTTTCACATTTCATTCGCTCTCTATCTAGACCTTAATTTAAGTTCATACGTAAAACTGGCAAACTTATTAACTAAAATCCTATAGAAATAGCGCTTTTTTAATAAAAAAAACAGGCTGAAATTTACTTAACAGGATCAAGAACAGAGAGTTTGAATTTAGTTTTTATATATGTGAACAAACAAATTTGTTTTTTGATCGACCATATCTTTCGGCTGTTTCAACTGTAAAATCAGTCATGCAATAAATTTTCACCCGGGCCAGAAATATCCATTTTTTGAAGAAATCCGGGCAATTTTCGAGCTGGATTAAAAGTAAAATAGTCCTTTGTTGTTGTGGTCAAAATTTAAATAGGATTTTGAATTGTACAATTGCGACATGAACAAAAACACAAAAATCTTTCAATGAGTCTCAATAATGTCAAAGCTCAGAGAACATCCGCGTCCAATATGACATCTGTCAAAAAAAAAKCCTTAAAAGATCAACTTTTCTGTATTTTTTCCATAATATTACAGATACATGGATAACATTGCAGGAAGCTTTCCACGGAATTCGTCACACAGGGCGAAAATAGCACATACTTTCATCGTTAACTGGGAACATTTTGCGGAATTTTCACCATATAAACTTCACAGATTTATCCACACACGACTTCTTCTATATTTGATCATATTCTCCTCCAATAATCTAAAATACTTGACTATAAGCGCAAATATTTCGTATTGTTTTWCTAAAACGTATAAACCACCTACACAACAGAACTGCAAATGTCAAAAAGAAAATCAAATAATCCTAGAATGAAAAAAAATTGAAGATCTAAATATTATTATTAACGTTTTTCAATGAATGTTATTTCTTACCGTAGTACAAGGGCATTGACGACGACATAAAGCTTAGCTTAGATCCGCTAGGCTCACATACAGCCCAAAAAACCCACAAACATTCATGAACGTTTTAGGACTCTAATTCTGTTTTTCCTGTGAATATTGCAGAGTAAATTTGCATAAGAACACAAACYCGATTGACAGAGCGGGGGCATGTTATGAAACTAGGATCCCAAGATAGCGTAATGTCATTGGTCCACACGGTTCAAGAGAAATTCTTCACTTACATCCTCTGCATTATGATTCAAATTGTCGATGTTGGAAAATAGCATCTGTTTTTGTGAASACCCGGAAATAACGTAATGATGTTGTGGTATTGTGCAAATCAGCTCTTTTCTTATTTGTTCTCTTCAAGTACGAGGTAAATTTGCGGTTTTTGGGAGATTTTTTTCCAGTATAAAATTTAGTTTGTATATGTTATGGAGTTAGTTTTGTTTGTTCAACTTAAGGTGGTTATCCCACTAGGAATCTATTGGGATACAATAGAAGAATAGCACTGAATCGATAATGTCATCGAGTAAAGACTATACGCAGATATCTAGTCAAATGCGCTAATCGGGCCGCTTCAATAGTTAATCTCTTCTTGTGTTATGTCAGTGATTTTCGGGTTTTCGGCGTAAGATAAAATAATTCGAGGYGCATTATTAAAAGGCTGTCTTRTCAAGCAGTTTATGACGARAGTGCAGCCTTCAATGAACCCATCAATGTAATTGAATTGACATGGWTTTGAAAATGATTTGACAACACYAGTAAAGTTCTTTTTTATCAATCAAAACTACTTCCTTAAAATAAATGATTCATAGTTTTTACGCTGACATTGTCGCGTTATGCAGTGTAGAGATGTGTATGAATAGCAGATCTCAGGTTTGAATTAAATATCCGTTTTGAATAAATTCATTTTTGGAACTGTGATTTTGCACGTACTCGCGGTCTGATCATCGATACGCTATCAGTTAAAGTTACCCCTCCCTGAGGCTAATGGTAACTGCCTCCCCCCGAGTCCAAGTTATTAACAAACAGAATTCAATGGACAAAGATATACTAAACCCTCCATCGACAGAGTGAAAGAGGAAACAACAACAACAACAACGACAACAATAACAAACTTTTGACAATAAATAAGTAGAATATAATAATTTCTATTTTGTTTCCATTTGAATTGCGCATGWTGACAATTTGATATTTCACGGATTTAACGTTTTTTCAACTATCGTGAACTTGACCTTAACAATAACTCTTCTGAATTGTTTGACTTAGGTGAAGGAACGCGCTAGCCGATTGAATGTACTAGTTCTACCCCTCCCCCCGTCAATCCCATGACAGTCATTGTGTTTTCACCGGTAGATAACATGGTCATTTCCTTTCATTAACATCTGAATTGTAATCCAATGTATGGCACCGCTTGTGAATGATGCATGACCTACATACACTTTTGCACTATACTTAATTACTCGTGATCGAACGAGAAGACATTTCTTTGGGAAATTGGTTAATTATCCTTTGAGATAAAAGAACTTTCAACATTAATGACACACGTTGAGGAAATGGTTTAAGGTTAAAAGATGAATACATGAATTACCAAAGCGCCCGACTGATAAAGATATTGACACAAATGTAGCACAAGCAAAAATAGAAAATAAATAGAGCTGGATATAAAGTAAAAAAGAAAAGAGCTGAGTTAAAAGATGTAAGATACCGAGGAAGGAAGCTACTATAAGCAGTGTAAACTAAAAGCAAAAAAGAACATTTGAAGAGGACTAAAAGTCACCGATGAACCGTCTAGACACGAACACGTGTTGCTAACTCAAATTTTGGGCTACTGCTTTCTATATTTTTGTAATCATAAATTATTAAACTTAACTGAAATTAAATCTTGAAAATAATACAAAATTTGCATTTTAAACAATAGGTATTTCAAACGCCGAATTTCTTCTAGTACAAAAGTCAAGAAGAAGACAAAATATTTGTGATATTTTCGGTACATGTGAAATTCGACAACGCAACATTTAACTATTGGAATAAAAACACTTCGCTAAAAACACAAACATCATTAATCGCGATACATCTTTATTGATTGTTTTATATACATAAGATCTAATAACGTATTCTTCATAATTATTATTTCTTCGATTCTTTTCTTTCATAGTTTTCTTCTATCAATATTTCAATAATAAATTTGATAATTCATCATATTAACCTTTCATCGAGAAGCCCTCGTGGATCCGAGAACCTTTGCACAATTTATAGCTATTCTTGATTTGAATAAATCAGAAAACAATGGATCGTTTTCTTCAAAAACAAATCTACCAATTGCAAAGATTCTCGAATGCAAGTAGCCCTTGAAGTGTTTACATCATTGCTTTGTAATCAGCACTACTACTACATTGCTCATAAAGTGATAGTTGGCCAGCGACATGTTATCGATACATATGATTCACTTTTTGTTGCCTCAACAGGCGCGTTATATAATCACGTGTTTATTGCCGCGCTTTTTGTGTCTAAGGACTCCGTTTTAGAGACGACCGACTTGTTTTTTCACTAGAAACCACTACACTATTTTCACTTACAGAGCACTTCAAGATTGATTCATATACTTGAGAATCTTCTAACGCTTCTTTCATTAATCATAAAGTGCTTTCTCTATATAATATACAGAGCAGGTGCGAGTGGATTTCCTTAATTTCGGTCTTTCAAGATATAATGAATACTGATTAGCTTACATGGGATCGTAAACAAATGTCAATGTGATACATGATGAGAAATATAAGTACAGGACAAGTACAGAAATATACGACCAAACATGTCAGAATCTACCTTTCGGCTAAAATCTAAAAAAAAACCTCAGTATTTGACCTTTCTGAAATACATAATATAGTCTATAAGTGTATTTTTTACGGCCTTTTTGGTACTATTTTCGTCCTGAATTGAATATATAAAACAACACGAAAACACCATGTAAGCGGAGTCATCGACCAGGCTCAGTATTCAATATTTCTCGACGGTTTTGTAAACATGTCGATGGCCAACTAATACAAATATTACCAGCAATCAGATTTAATTATAAGAAGATTGGATCAAATAACAATGTATTACTTTTAAATAGAAGTTCTGATAAATAAGGAAACATAAAGTAGACCATGAATAAGTTTTTAAGTTAGTTTGGGCTTAAATTAATTGAAAGTACAATGATATTGTACGAACGACGCGCGCGCGTCATTTACAGCTTTTGGCGGGAAAATCAGTCGGACGCCATTTTGCATTGGGAGAAAGTACAATAGTCTAATAAATAATCAAGTGTAAGTTTTTGAAAGAAAAGTATCAAAGTAAAGAAATGAATCCTTCCATTGATCTCCCAAATATTAGCAAAAGACAGGAAAAAAAGAAATATATATTATATATAAGTTATAATTATATTCTATATTTACATAATATTATTTTGGATGAAGGTACTACATCCGTGAGGCTGTACATTTTACATCAAAGAATACTACTCTTCTTTGTATATCACTGACTATCGTTTGAGATCCACGAGTTACCCTCGCTCTCGTTATTCATCATTCTTAGGGGATTATCCGATAATCGTTTTAAGTTACACTTTGAATACTTTTGCCTCATGGGTATAGTTCCTTCGTAACTTATAATAAATTTTAAAGTTATTTACTGAACCAGAAACTATAATAGGAGCTATTCTAGCACCAGTAATCTATATGTCCTTTACAACTTTCGAATCCCTCCCCCATCAGTAATACAAGTATTACCGCGATTGCCCAACCTGTCTCACATCAATTTTCCCGCCATTCTTTCCTAAATCTACGGAGAACCGCTAGCCTGCGTGATGACCGTTTTTTCCTTCTTTTAGAAAGAACGGTCTACCTGTAGGCTAGGAACAACTGGTGTCCAACTATACAACCCTTTTCACATCTCGCAATCTAGTGATTGTTTTTTCTTGACTATCAATTTCAGGAATCTATACGTAATGCTCAACCTAAAAATGTGTTTTCATAACTTAACCAGTTATACTGGTTTATAATATATATATGCAAAATATGTAAAATAATTCTAGATCTGTTCTTGCAATAAAATAAATTTATATATAATATATTAATCATATATTAAAAGATTTGATGAATTTTGAGTCAAACAAACAGCTATGTCACAGTAATCGAGCTGAACATCAAACATAAAAACCACAGATATTTCACAAAATATCATGAAACTCTAAAAATCTATACTTACAAATATAAAACAAACGAAATGAAAAGCTTCAATAGTCATTTCTATTAATGTGGCCGCCATTTTGAAAACATTGTACCGCATTACTACAAAGGTCTATTGAATCACCATCATATGCGTGATTGACACCTGTCAGGGTTGATAAAATAAATTTACCCATGATGCTTTTAGGTTTTTAAGCATTTCTTTTGTAACATTATCTTCATTTCAACACAAAACAATAAAATTCTAAAAAGAAAAAAAAAAAATAAATTACCTATGCTACAATAAAATACCTATCCTACAGACAACAAAATGGCGGAAAATTTTATAATCTTAATTAAAACTTAAAAAAGCTTTAAGCTTATTTTTTTTACAAACCAATA